AGCCCCCCCAGTTCTCCCCCGGCTCCTCCAGAGCAGCCTCAGCGCCCCCGGCTCCTCCCGAGCCTCCCCGGCTCTCCCCCGGTCACAAGGCCACTTTTGGGGTCACTGGGTGTGGCAGCACATGCGAAACGAGTGAGCTTGTAAATACGGGAGGACTTGACTCCAGCTCCGAATGGAGGGCGGAGGGAAGAGACGCGGCCGCAGAGCTGTGTAGACACGTTCTAAATGTAGCTCGGAAACGAGTGGCGTTTTGTAAAGCGAGTGTGTCTCCTGGTAATGTAAAGCAATCAAGGATTTGTCTTAAAGTAGCCTGGCTTATTGACAAGTTTTCCAGAAGGTGAGTACATACTTGTGAGCAAAAAGTAAACATTCTAAAGAAAAATGCATATTTGCTCAGTTCATAAAAAGAAAATATCTAATTAAGGAAGAGCTAGCTTTCACCAAATCTCTCGTTTTTTCTATTTTCCTATTTGTATTTCATAACAGTTGATAGTCTTGGATAGATGTGCCGACATTACCAACCTACTCTCTCAGTTTTGGATCTTAGAAAATGGATGTTTATATTTGTAATTGTCAGATTTTTACTGGTGCTCTTTGGTTTTTTTTTTTGACAGAATTGCTGTTATGGCAACTCAGGTGCTGGGGCAGTCTGGTGGGAACAGCCTATTTTCTGGCAGTGCCAACATTGGCATGGCACTGTCTAACGACATGTATGACTTGCATGACCTTTCCAAAGCTGAGCTGGCAGCCCCTCAGCTTATTATGTTGGCAAATGTGGCCTTGACAGGAGAAGTTAATGGCAGTTGCTGTGATTACCTGGTTGGAGAAGAGAGGCAAATGGCTGAATTGACAACTGTAGGTGACAGCAACTTTTCAGATAGTGATGGAGAGGGCATGGAAGATACACAGGGAGAGGACAGCGACCCTGATGGACCTGAAACCATGGAATTAGGGGCTCTTGAAATTCCTAGTGTGGAAAGCCAGGGTCCAGCCGTTTGCCCTACTCCTGAGCCCTGCAGTCTGGACAAGGACCACCTCACCCTGGAAGCACCAGATACTCCAGAGAATGCAGAGGACAAATGTAAAAGCTTGAAAAGCAAGCCATTTCGTTGCAAACCATGCCATTATGAGGCAGAGTGTGAGGAGGAGTTTGTGCATCACATTAGAGTGCACAGTGCCAAGAAATTCATTGTAGAGGAAAATGCAGAGAAGAAAGCCCAGGTCAAGGAATCTGATTCTTGCACCACAGAAGAGGCAGATTTCTCTAAGGGGCCTATTCGCTGTGATCGCTGTGGCTATAACACTAACAGATATGATCACTATCTGGCACACTTGAAACACCACAACAAAGCAGGAGAAAACGAGAGAGTGTACAAGTGCACCATATGTACTTACACCACTGTCAGTGAGTATCATTGGAAGAAACATCTAAGAAATCATTTTCCTAGGAAGGTGTACACGTGCTCCCAGTGCTCCTACTTTTCAGACAGGAAGAACAATTATATTCAACATATTCGAACTCATACTGGTAAGTCTTTCATCTCTGTTTGAGCAGGAATATTGGTGATTGGGGGAACTGTACTAGGTATGTCAGAGTGGGACTCTTGTATTTGCAAGATTTGCTCCACCCTGATAAGGCTTGTTTGACTGTTGCACTTAATTACAAATCTTAAACGAGCCAAAATGTTCCATAGAATCTCTATAGATAGGAATTCCATGCTCCAATAATAAGAATATAGCAGGACACTTGATCAGGACAGTGACAGTGGAGATTAGAGAGGCTATCAAATTAAAAAACTCAATAATAGTGGGGGGATTTCTACTATCCCCATATTGACTGGGTACATGTCACCCCAGGATGGGATGCAGAGATAACATTTCTTGATACTTTAAATGACTGCTTCTTGGAGCAGGTAGAACCCCCCAAGGGGAGAGGCTGGTCTTGATTGAGTCCTAAGTGGAGCACAGGATCTGGTTCAAGAGGTAAATATAATTGGACTGCTTGGAAATAGTGACCATCATATAATAAAATTTAACATCCCTGTGGTGGGAAAAACACCTCAGCAGCCCAACACTATGGCATTTAATTTCAGAAAGGGGAACTACACAAAAATGAGGAAGTTAAACAGAAATTAAAAGGTCCAGTGACAAAAGTAAAATCTCTGCAAGATGCATAGAAACTTTTCAAAGACACTATAATAGAAGCCCAACTTAAATGTATATCCCAAATTAAAGAACACAGAGAACCAAAAAAGTGCTACTATGTCTTAACAACAAGGTAAAAGAAGCAGTGACAGATAAAAAGATATCTTTTAAAAACTGAAAGTCAAATCCTAGTGAGGAAAATAGACTTTGTCAAATTAAGTGTAAAAATATAAGAAAAGCCAAAAAGGAGTTTGAAGAACAGCTAGCCAAAAACTTAAAAGTAATAGTAACATGTTTTTTAAGTACATCAGAAACAGGAAGTCAGCTAAACAACCAGTGGGGCCCTTGGACAATTGAGATGCTAAAGGAGCACTCAAAGATGATAAAGTCATAGCGGAGAAGCTAAATGAATTCTTTGCTTCGGTCTTCACGGCAGAGGATATTGGGGAGATTCCCAAATCTGAGCCATTCTTTTTAGATGACAGATCTGAGGAATTGTCCCAGATTGAGGTGTCATTAGAGGAAGTTTTGGAACAAACTGATAAACTTAACAGTAACAAGTCACCGAGACCAGATGGCATTCACCCGAGAGTTCTGAAAGAACCCAAATGGGAAATTGCAGAACTATTAACTGTGGTTTGTAACCTAGCCTTTAAATTGGCTTCCATACCTAATGATTGGAAGATAGCTAATGTGATGCCAATATTTAAAAAGGGCACTAGAGGGCTACGTCTAGACTGACATGATTTTCCAGAAATTTTTGCGGAAAAGCGTCCGTGCCAATCTAGACGCGGTTTTGCGCAAAAAAGCCATTTTAGCCATCGGGGCTTTTTGGCGCAAAACAGCACTGTGCTGTCTACACTGGCCCTCTTGCGCAAATGATTTGCGCCAGAGGGCTTTTGCCCGAACGGGAGCAGCACAGTATTTCCGCAAGAACACTGACACTCTTACATGAGATCGTCAGTGTTCTTGCGGAAATTCAAGTGGCCAGTGTAGACAGCTGGCAAGTTTTTCTGCAAAAGCAGATGATTTTGCGGAAAAACTTGCCAGTCTAGACACAGCCGAGGTGATCCTGGCAATTACAGACTGGTAAGTCTAATGTCAGTTCCGGGCAAATTAGTTGAAACTATAGTGAAGAATAAAATTGTCTGACATGTGGATGAATATAATTTGTTGCGGGAAAGTCAACATGGTTTCTGTGAAGGGAAATCATGCCTTATTAATCTATTAGAGTTCTTTGAGGGGGTCAACAAACATGTGAACAAGGGGGATCCAGTGGATATAGTATACTTAGATTTCCAGAAAGCCTTTGACAAGGTCCCTCACTAAAGGCTCTTATGTAAAGTAAGTTGTCATGGGATAAGAGGGGAAGTTCCTTTTGTGGATTGATAACTGGTTAAAGGACAGGAAACAAAGGGTAGGAATAAAAGGAACCACTTTTACATACAGATTCAATACATTTAGAATTTCTGACCTGCAAAGTGAAAGACACTTTCTTAAAAAACAAAGCAAAATTGACATCAGACTAAGGGTAACATTTTCAAAGGGCCTATGTGATTCAGGCACCTTTGAAAACTTGATCCTAAGGCTGAGACAAAACTTGGCAATTTTCAGATTGTTGCAATAATAGAAAATAAGGAATTCACACACAAAGACACCCCCACACCCAACCTCAAGCAACTATCAACCCTGCTGAGTAAAATCCACTGTAATACTATGTGAATTGGCCAAGTGTGGGAGGCGTTCCACTGGACGGCATTTCTCTGTTTTGATGTAAAGTGATAGCTTTTGAACACCATATGCAAGTCCAGAATTTTAGGGAATGTTCTCAGAATCAGTGGGCAGAATCCTGTTGATTTGGGGGAAAACTGAAAAGCCATTTGGGGGAAAATTGGGGACACAGAAGCCCTGCTCTCTAAGGATGCCATAGCTTCAAGCACCCCTGCGATTGTCCATAGCCCAAGGTACTGGTTGATGCCAGTTAACACCCTTTGGCATAACGATACCCTGATTTCATGTCTGTGCCCTTTCTCCGAATAGATTTCAATATGTTGATACTCTGAATTACTTAACTCCTAGACAGAAAAGAAATAATAATGCAGGGAAGGCCCACATAGCCATGACAGGGGTGGGAAAGAAATGCTGGTCTGGGCAGAATAGGGGTGTGCACAGTCCTGGTTTGGGGGGGAATAGGGCAATTGCATAAGACCTCTAATGGGGTGCAAGAGTGGTATGGGGGACACAGAGCAATGGCATGAGGCAGAGGGTCTGCAGATTGCAGAAAATCCCTAAAATACCTGGGAGGGTGGCCCACGGGACCTTCCGGGGGAATGGAGGGGTGCTTGGTACGTACAATGAGCTGGGCCTACTGAAGCTAAGACATGCACGACCCCGTGGTTATTTATATGGGATTCCGACACATCTCGGGTTCCCATCGCTGCAGTATCCAAGAGAAATAGGAACACCATTTGTTAGCATGCACGAGGCTCATGTAGGAGATCTCGAACCCGTTTCTAATCTGCTACTGGCAGAGGAAAAGAGAGAGCACATCCTCATTGTGCTGCACCCAACGCACAATGTCTGTGACATGGCTCCAGGATTAGGGCAGGACAAAACGTGGTCTAAGTATTTTGCTATTTTAACAAGATTTTCTGAAGCATGAGAAACCAGCTTCCAGAGCTCTGCCATGGGGCTCCTATGCTGTCGGTGCCACAAGTGCTTTTCCTTCTTAGCAAAATGGCTGCCAGTGGCACCAGCTTTGTCTCATCAGGAGGGATGTTTGTTTGGCCAGTCTCTCCTGGGATCGGGTACAATTCTTTCTCTGCTCCTGTGCCACAGGACGGGCTTCACTGCCAGCCAGCCTTGCCACTCACTCCTCCTGGGGGCAGCCAGTGGAGATTACCTCAGAGAGAGAGACTCAATCATCTTCTAGTTGCCCTGGGCTGGCCCCCCTTTCTGACCTGGTTTTTCCTACTGTGTGGGCTGTGCTGGCTGAGCAGAGTGCATACAGAATTTCTCCTTTGAAGTTACTGTGCTTGTTACCCAAGTAAAATGGTTTTAGCAACTTCATTTGAATCTCCCGAGCAGTTCTTCTCAGTCTGAAATCTCCTAGAAATACAGGACCAGAGTCATGAGATTTGCAGGTCAAGACTGAGGTACAGTGGGGAAGCTTGCGCATTGCCAGCCTGCATTAGTCTGTGCCCTGAGTTTCTTGTCTACTTTAGACGTACTCATGTCTGCAAAATAGAAGTGTCTTGTTTAGAGGACAGTGCTTAAAAAATCACACTTCTGTCTGAAAATAAAAGCACATCTCAGATTATCAGCAAGACAAAGATGCTGAGGTGGTAACTTTTACTGGCCTGCTTTAATGGTATTACTTCACCCACCTTGTGTCTCTGATATCTTGGGACCAACATGGCTACAACACCGCTGTGTACCTTGCAACTGAAAGCAGTTAGGAAAATAACAACATATTCCTGTCTCTCATTTTGTGCTGTGGACAGCACTTTTTGTATGGTCCGTTTCACCATTTTCCCTGTACTCAGTCAGTTTCTGCTTTTGTTGGTGTGAATCTTTCAAAGATCATTGGGAGAGAGAGAGAACTTTTTAGAAAAGTTTAGCCAAAGATCAGGTGGAGTTCCCAGAAACTACTTTTAATTCATTTTTAAAACTGACTTGATTTCTGGTTAATCATGTCTCTTTAAAGTTTCCCTGCTTTTGTTTGGATACTGCAGTCAGCTGGGATGTTCAGGGGACAAACTCTCAAAGCTCTCTTTGCGATAAGGGTGCTTAGCATTTTATAGGATCTAACACAAAGCAAGAGCCTTTCAAGGCAGCCTTTAGTCGATCACTGCATTTGGGATGGGCCAGTACTACACAGTAACAGTAGTGACAGTGTTTCAGAGAGGAATAAATGAGCAAAAGAAGAAATACGCCTTGATCCTTATGTTCATACTGCAGTCCAAGGTCTTGTCTGCTAGTGTTTGGATCTCTGGCAAACAGTGTGTTGCATTTATTGTTTCATTAGGGCTGCGTCTAGACTGGCTGGCTGTGTCTAGACGGGCAAGTTTTTCTGCAAAATCATCTGCTTTTGTGGAAAAACTTGCCAGCTGTCTACACTGGCTGCTTGAATTTCCGCGAGAACACTGACGATCTCATATAAGATTGTCAGTGGTCTTGCGGAAATGCTATGCTGCTCCCGTTCGGGCAAAAGCCCTCTTGCGCAAAAGCGTCCGTGCCAATCTAGATGCTCTTTTCCGAAAATGCTTTTAACGGAAAAACTTTTCCATTAAAAGCATTTGCGGAAAATCATGCCAGTCTAGACGTAGCCTAGATGTTTTGTGCTGACAAGTGTTTGCCACTAGTTAACCAATACATTAACTAGGGAAGCTATTTTAAAAAATCAAATAAAACAAGAAGAAATGGTTTTTTTAAGTACCTGGCAGTCTGTACATATGGTTCTTTATTGGAAGTGTCCTTATTACTGGTTAAAATTGAACTTTGTATTTAAAGTGCCTAACGAAACAACCAGGTCTTAACTTCTTCAAATGGTCTTATCAGTAGGGCCTAGGGATGTAAAATCCTGTTGAACTGGCTAAACATATTATTTAACTGATCAAAGGGGGATGAGGGGCTGCTCCCGCGTTTCAGCCTACGGTGCACCCTGGCTCCCCGTGGACAGAGGCTGTGTTGTGCTGGAGCTGCCCTTGTCTGTGGTGAGCCCATGGCGTGCGGAGCTGTGTCAGCCTCAGTAGTTAACTTAACCTGTAAGGCCTACCGTTAAATCTTCCCATCCCTAGGAAGGCCCTGATGTGACTTTGTTATAGATGTGTCTATTGCGTTAGAGAGGAGGGCTGTGTGTGCGAGATGGGAGGACGTGGAACTGAAGGAGTTAGTGACTACACAAACTTGGCTGATTGCTACACCGCTATTTGCCTTTTGCCTTTGCTGACTCTCTCTTTAGATTGCCACCTGTCTATTAAACTCAGCGTTGTCATGCTGCCCACTCCAGTCGAAACTCTCCTATGCAGCTTTTCCAGTAACATTTAAATCTTCTGCATCGGATATTTGATGTTCATGTTGCTAGTCCTTTTCATTTACTAGTCTTACATGGCTGGTGTGGATAAGGCGAACTTCTTTCTTCGGTTAGCTTTCTAATTGTTAGTTGAATTTGAGATTTTACAGAGAGATTTTTTGCTACTAATTAGTTTCACACTTAAAATGCTCCTGTCTGATTAACACGAGAACTCCCAGGAGCACCACTGCCTTCCTGTGTGTTGAACTTGCACATGTCAGGAGAGCTGCAGCGCTTTGATCAGGCTCTGTGTCAGCTCTAAGTCAACTGCACTGTGCAGTGATTTGGGAGTGGGCACCCAGGTTAGTGTAGTTCAAGTGAGAGCAGGCACAGGCAAAGCCCTCCCTGAGTTCCCATGTCTGCTCTGGTGCTGTGCTCTTAGGACTCCTGCGGTCATATCGCACAGCTCAGCTGTGGGAAGCTGAGCAGCTCTGCGAGGCGTGGGTCTGCCCTTCTGGGCACACGGGGCGACTGGGAAAGCACTGGGGAATGGTCAGTGCTAGCTATACGTGGGGAGACACTTAGGGATGTGATCAACTAGTTGCTCCCCACTCCTTGCTGCCTCTATCACAAAGAGGCAGCAAGTGGAGGGAAGAGGAGGGGCTGTTGCAGGGAGCTGGCTTAAAAGCTGGTTCCCCCCAGCTCCAACTCCAGCTCCATGGGAGGGGGCAGGGGCGTGGCGGTGGCCAACTTTGAAATATACAAGAGTCCCGCTGGGGCTCTTGTACGTTTCCGAGAGGAAGCACCCATATGGAGCCTGGGGTCAGTGGGACTCCCCGCTGGCCCCGGGCTCTGTGCAGCGTTTCAATCTTTGAAATGCCTAAGAGCCCCTGCTGGGGCTCTTGTACATTTCAGAGGCAGAACGCAGAAGTTCTTATTGACTAATCGAATAGTCGATGGAAATCCCATTAGTTAATTAATCCGATTAGTTAATTAATTGAAATTTAATATCCCTCCTCAGTGCTAGGGTTAGCTTGCATCCGCACTAGAGTGAAAGTGGCAGTTGGGCTTTAGCCTCGCCCCCAGGTGTAGCGTGCACCAGCAAGGTCTGCACACAGAGCATGTTACGTGGGGCTTCTCGCAGCACAAATCACTCCACAACCCAAGTGGGTGGTCTGAAACCTGAGCCTGTCCGGGCCACGGCGCTTCAGGCTGGGGATCCAAAACTGAAGCCCAAGCACTCCAGCTCCAGGCAGGGGCCTACAACATCAGCTTCTGCCCTGGGTTGTAGCACTTAAGCATGGGCTGCAGCTCTGGTCCCCAGCAAGTCTTAACGCCTGCCCTGCTGACCCATGAAAATAGGGCCCAGAACCACTGGGGGGCTGTGCAGACAAACTCCGAGTCACATCCCTGCGTGCCCACTTCTTTAGAACAGGAAATGAAAAGTACTGGTTACAAGCAGGGCCTGCGACAAAACCAGGCCAGGCCCTTTGATCACGTGGCAGTTTCATTGTACGTGTCTGGCAAAACTCTCCCATATTGTTTAAAGTGGGGGAGAATTAATTTTTTTTAGGAGGGGCCTTAACCTGTTGCAGGGTGGAATTTGTCTTTTAGATGCTGATCTAATTAACAGTGTATAATAGGATTAGTGAGAGGAAGAAATTTAGTTAAAGGGCTTTTCTACCCGAACAGCACTGCTGTGGTACCGCTGCAGCATTTGGTGAAGATGCTACCTACGCCAGTGGGAGAGGTTCTTCCAGTGGTGCAGTTACTCCACTTCCCCAAGAGGCTGTCTTTCTGTTGATGGGAAAAGCTCTCCCATCGACACAGTGTTGCTCAGGAGGGTGGATTTTCCATGCTCTGGGGAGACAGAGATATACCAACATAAGTCTGTGGTGTAAGCCACAGAAATGTGAAAAAGAAATCTCAGCCCTGTCCCCAGCCCCTCCCCTACTGCTCTTGGTTGGGTCCACACAAGGCAAAAGGTGTGTTCTTCACACCCTAATGAAGACAAGGCAGCATGCAGCTTTCGTGTGTTACCAGGTTCAAGTAAAGAACAATTGGGAACGTAGGATTTACCTTGACCTGCTTAACAGGTGTTGATAACTAAAACTTCCTTGTCTTCAGTGAGGACAATCCTTGTGTTAGGCTTTATGTACAAATGAGATCAATCCAGAATAGCTAATGCATTTTATATCGTTTAGCTTGAAAGTCGGTTATCCTGAAAACGAACAAGGAACTAGCTTGTCAATCTGGGGACACCAAGGGTGCACCTTCACGACAGAGACTGCAGGCTTGTCCCCACTCCCAGGAGCACAATGCTGCAGTGATCCATCTACCAGGGATCGATTTAGTGTTTCTAGTGAAGACCCGCTAAATTAACCACAGATTACTCCCTCCTCAATTCCAGTACTCCAGCAGAACGAGACATGTAAGGTAAGTTGGTGGGAGACTTTCTCCCATCGACCTAGGACAGCGTAGACACTGCAATAAGTTGACCTAAGCTACGTCGACTCCAGCTATACTACTCCTGTAGCTGCAATTGCGTCAACCTCATAGCTCAGTAGTGTAGATGTAGACTGTGCCCACAGAAGTGTTTCTGTTGGCCTAGGAACACCGCCTGTCCAAATGAGGTTAGCTGTGTCGAGAGATGCCCTTCCATCAGCATAGCTATGCCTGCACTGGGGCTTTTGTTGGCAATGCTGTGCCATTCAGGGCTGTGGGGTTTTATTTGTTTCATTTTTATTTGAACTGTTTGTTTTTGCAGGAGAACGTCCCTATCAATGTTCTATGTGCCCCTATTCAAGTTCTCAGAAGACTCATCTAACCAGGCACATGCGAACTCATTCAGGTAGGTGAAAAGGCAGCATCACAGTAACCCCGTGGAAAATATTTCTTACATTTGTTTAGTGTTGCCCAGGCTTAAATTATCGTCATGACAATGGTCTAGCTTTCTAGGAGGACGCTGAACCATGTGCAGGTTAGATAGGCCCTGCTGACTAAAGAACAGGATATCGGGCACCCAGGGCTTTCCTACGGGGGAGGGACCACTACAATCAGAATGTCCCATTAAGCCGGGGTACTCAAATGCTGCCTGCTCTCTTATTTCACTCTTCGCTCTATAGAAAGGGACATGCAAAAAGTGTTAATATTTTGTCCCATAGAAACATTTTGGGTTAGACTGTGACACTTGTGTTCATTCGAATAGATTTTGAAAATGTAGGTAAAACGTGTATCTCTGGGACAGGGGAAAGAGCACGCTCATTGTGGTGTTAGTACATTCATGTTGTTGGAAACTCTGCACTGCTGCCCACCACCATTGTCGCTTCATTTGGCAGTGGCAAGCTTGCCTGGTCATTTGTAAAGGGGTTTGAGATCCCTAGATGGAAGGGGCTATCCAAGTGCCAAGCCTTACTCTGAAAAGTTGTAATGAAGGAGTAGATATTTTCCCATTGCAATCCAAGGCTTGGAAGAGTATCTTCATTTCTTTGGACTTTTTACACTGGGATATAGGTTCAGGAGCAATAGGATGGAGTGTGTGGAAACATCCTCAGGTTGTGTATATTGTCACAGCTCAGTTGAAGTCACTGAAGCAATGACAGTACATACAAGGTGAGGGTCTAGCATGTAATGTCTAATATAGATCTCAGCAATTCTGAGAGCAGAGTTAATTTATGATGCCTAATTTAAAAAAATCTGTCACAGTTTCTTCCAAGAACATTTGCAAGAAAATGTCTGTTTAGCTTTATAGCCAGTATCACAAAGAGTTGCAGAAAATGTTTACAGTCATATTCCCTGGGGTTTAAGGGCAAGATAGTAATTGTCACTGTCATTTATTTCACTGTGATTGGTACTGAGTTCTCAGGAACTTGTTATCTCTCTTTTTCAAAGCTGGTTTGTGAAATGGCAGCATTTACAATTTTGCAGCTGCTGTTGTATTGAGTGAGGTGAGAGCCACAAGTACAACTCGGTTGTAGCTCTCGGGAAAATTCAGTGTGAACTTGAACCCACACTACCTCTATTGCCTTAATTGTGACTCTCGCCTGGATAACGAGAGCAGGCTGCAAACCCTAACTCAGAAGAATATAAATATAGTAGTCAGATTAGGCTACTGGTGTCCAGGCCAGGAACAAAATACTGCGTGTGCAATGTTGAGAAAGACAGAAGGGACAAATAAGTTCGATAAAGCAGCAGGAGTTAATAAAGTAGTAAAGCAGATGTTACTGGTTGTGTGTCACAGAATCCTAGAAATGTCGGGCTGGAAAAAGGGACCCAATAGGTCAGCTAGTCCAGGCCCCTGCACTGAGTCAGGACCAAGCAACCCTCCCATTCCTGACAAGATTTTGTCCAACCTGCTTTTAAAACCATCCAACAACTGGGATTCTCAAACCTCCCTTGGAAGCTTGTTCCAGAGCTTCACTATCCTTATAATGAGAGTTTTTTTCCTAATATCTAACTTAGGGGTGAGCAAATATTGGTCCGTTGGCTGGAGCTAGTTTGCCAGGGTTAGCTCATGGCAGGTCCCCATGTCACCCTATTTATCTGCACCTTCGCAGTTACAGGGATCATAGCTCCCATTGGCTGCAGACCACCGCTCCTGGCCAATGGGAGCTGCATTGCCCCTACCTGCGGAGGTGCAGGTTAATTATAGCGTCAGCGGCCCACCAGCGACTAACCCTGGTGAACTGCCGCCATTTTATTGCCCACCCCGATCTAACCTATACATGTTCCTTGCTGCAGATTAAGCACGTTACTTGTTGTCTTACCTTCAGTGGGCATGGAGAATACCGACCTCTTTAGAACACTTGTGATATATTTGAAGACTATTTTCAGATCCCCACCCCCTTCAGTCTTTTTTCTCAAGAGGAAACATGCCCATTTGTTTAACCTTTCCCCATAGGTTAGGTTTCCTACACTGTTTATTATCTTTGTTGCTTTCCTCTGGAAACTGCAGTTTAGCACATCTTTCCTAAAGTTCAGCCTCCAAATTGGGTACAGTAGTTCATCTGAGGGCTCCCCAGTGCGGAGTGGAACAGGGCTCTTCCCTCCTGTGTCTTCCATGCAACACTCCTGGTAATACAAGTCATGTCTTGACATGGTTTAAAGGAATTTCTGGGCATCTTAAACAGTTGGAACAGCTCATTCTAGAGCACACAAAGGGAGAGGATGCTCTTTACCTAATCCTAAGTAATGCACAGTAAAACATACTTGATCCACTCATTATTGATGATAGTGTAACTAAGTTCAGGATCCTCAGGAAAGGGATTGTGCCGTATCAAACACAAGGGTTGTGATGTTAAACTTGTGAAAGGAAGATTAAAGGGGGAACTCAAAAAAGAAAGAGGAAGATAGTTTTAAGAAAGCAGCACTGCTCTGGTCTGTGCTAGATGTTGTAAGATTCGAGCGTGCTATAAACAATAATAAACAGATTCTAAAGTCAGAAGTGAGGAAATGCAAATCCTCAGACTTGGCGTGGGAGACAAGTTAGTTGTACCCTAACGGTGACACAGAAAACATGCGGGCCTCTAAACAAACAAGGAGAGGAGCAAGCAAAAACCAAAACAAAACTCCAGGGTTACTCAACTTTGGAAGCCCCGGGGGCCACAATGATATTCACAACACATGCCGAGGGCCGCAACTTAAGTGTGGTTGCATATACAGTACATGCAAATATATATGCAAATAGCTTTTCAGACCGACGGGCATGAGTACAAAAATTAAGGCAAGACTATACAACACATAGGCCGCATTTAAGTTAGTTCTGATAGTAATAAAAAGCAATATTTACCCAATCTCCACCCATATGACAGCACTTTTAATGAGCAATGACAGTCCAAGAATTTAGCTACTAAATGCTTATCAACAGAAGACCATTCTCGACTCGCTATTGCGGCGCATGTTCCCAGTGGAAGCCATGTTCAAAGGATCCCACCTGCGGGCCGCATGTTGAGCCCTGCGTAAACCCAAACCGCACCAGGAGCCGCAAACAAATGGGCCACGGGCTGTATGTGGCCCATGGGCCACATGTTGAGTAGCCCTGGTCCAGGGTATTAAATAGCAAAGGCCGGAAGCTATTGACGCCCAATGGATATCCCTCAGAAGTGTAGCCCTGGTATCCGAAGCAGGTGCCCTCTGACTGCACATCTACACTAAGGATGTGACAGTGTATTTGTTTAAATGGTTAAAAAACAGCTCCCCACGTGCACTGGTTCCTGCGGAGCTGCCTCCCCCGGCATGCAAATGTGTAACCGCAGTGCTTAGATGTTTACCAACAAAGCTAAATGCCTTCTCTGCATCATTCTCTGCGCAGACGATCTTTGAGAGAGACCTACATTTTGTCAGACAATAAAAAGAGGTACTGCCAGGCCTGAGGTGATTATAGAGGAGGGGCTCGAATGAACAGCTTAATTAAATTACAAGACACTAGGGCTAAATGTGTAACCGCAGTGCTTAGATGTTTACCAACAAAGCTAAATGCCTTCTCTGCATCATTCTCTGCGCAGACGATCTTTGAGAGAGACCTACATTTTGTCAGACAATAAAAAGAGGTACTGCCAGGCCTGAGGTGATTAAAGAGGAGGGGCTTGAATGAACAGCTTAATTAAATAACAAGACATTAGGGCTTTTTTTTGCAATTTTTTCAAAACACAGTTGAACTTGTCACACTAAAACAAAAGGAAAAACTGTGTAGCACTTTAAAGACTAACAAGATGGTTTATTAGGTGATGAGCTTTCGTGGGCCAGACCCACTTCCTCAGATCATATTCTGAAAGAGAATTGGCATGACCATATATACCACAGGAATACAATGAAAAAGTGAACTCATTATTAAACCGACATCAGATTTAGAACAGAAGGTGGGGTGAGGGAGAAGGAGGGAGGGAATAGCTGTTTATAAGTCAATGAGTGGCTAATCAGGGGTGATAAGTGGGGAAGCTATCTTTCTAATGGGTAAGGTAATTAGCATCTTTGTTAAGGCCCATTCGTAAAGGGTCAAATTTAAGCATGAATGAAAATTCTGAATTTTCTCTCTGTAATCTGGTGTTAAAGTCTCTTTGAAGTAAGATGCATGTAGTAAGGTCATTAAGACTATGTCCAGGTAGGTTGAAATGCAAACTGACAGGTTTTTTCTTGTGAAGATGTCTGATTTGTGGGCATTAATTCTTAAGGGGGGGAAGTGTCTGAGAAGTCTGTCCAATATGCATAGCAGAAGGACACTGTTGGCACAAATTATATTTCTGGATGAACAGGAATATGTGAACTTGATCGTATAATTGACATGGTTAGGTCCAATGATGGCGTCACCAGAGTAAATACGTGGACAAAGTTGGCAACGGGGTTTGTTGCAAGGGAAAGTTCCAGGGTTGGTATTAAGTGCTACATAGGGTTTCCTTTTGTTTTAGCAAGATCAGACTAACATGGCTACCTCTCTATTACTTGTCACACTCAAGATATTTTTGCACACTTACATTTATGTATAAATAAGCCAAAGCCACCACGGCGTTTCAAAGGGGCAGCGCCACAGGGAGCCCGGGATCAGTTGGGGATTCCTCAGCTGACCCTGGGCTCCACGTGGCTGACGCTTTGGAAAGCTGTGGCGGCATTTCAAAGGGGCAGCGCTGCATGGAGCCCAGGATCAGCTGTGCGTCACTGCCGCTTTGAAGAACCCCCCACACTCTTCCTCTTTGCTGCTTCTGTCTGATAGAGGCAGCAAGTGGGGAGAGAAGCAACTAGTTGACTAGACCGTAACATCCCTACTTAGGACTTGGTCTTCAGTTTTTAAAACTAGCATGCAAATGCTAAACCAAACAGGACTCTGCACGTTCTATTTAATAGAAGGTAATATTTTAAATATTTCAAGTAAAAATTCAGAGAATTGAATTAGTAGGGGTAATGATCATTTGAATGATGTACACTTTTTCCAGAAAATTCTGTTTTTAAAGTGTGCTTTATTGCCTTGCTTGCCATCTGTAAGTGTCAATTTTCATCCATTTCATTTTCAGTGCAAATAGAAAGTCTATTAAACCTTTGTAAAGTTGGACTGTTTTAGAAATGTTTGTGTAAGACAATTATTCATCACCTGTTAATTTCCATTTTTCTACAATGCATTCAAAGGACCAGTTGGGTATGGATTCCATTTGCTAATAGTACTATAGAACGATCTATTCCGGTATGTATTCAGAGACAGAGTGTGATGTAGTTATTGCTTGTTTGCTTGTTTTGTTTTTCCTTCTTTGTGTTGTTATTGGTGTCTTTGTGAACGTGTTTGTGACTATACGATTATGATTTTGGATTTCTTAAGTTGACACACTTTTAAGAAAGAAGCATGGACAATTGTTTGAAATTGACGTAGTATCTATATAACGTCACGTACCTGTTTCTTCAGTGTTTTAATCGGAATTCCCCATTCCTTCCTCAGGGGAGAAGCCATTTAAATGTGATCAGTGCAGCTATGTGGCCTCAAACCAGCATGAAGTTACTCGCCATGCAAGGCAGGTTCACAATGGGCCCAAACCTCTGACTTGCCCGCACTGTGACTACAAAACAGCCGACCGAAGTAACTTCAAAAAGCATGTGGAGCTCCATGTCAACCCACGCCAGTTCCTTTGTCCTGTCTGCGATTATGCTGCATCCAAGAAATGTAACTTGCAGTATCACATCAAATCCCGGCACCCTGATTGTTCAGATATCACAATGGATGTTTCCAAAGTGAAACTGCGGACTAAAAAGAGCGAAGCCGACTCTTCTGAAAATGGGAATGACAAGCTGGAGAAAGAGCAAACAAAAGGAGAGTCACCTGAAAGGAAAAACGAGGGAGCTGTAAAGGTGGAGAAGAAAGAGAGCTTATCAAAGGAAAAGAAACCGGCCAGCAGCATTTGTGTAGGCCAGGTGACAACCAGGAGTCGTAAATCAGCTTCTGAATATAAGGAGGTAGATATTAAAAGTGAGAAAAGTACAGAGAAATCAAGACAGACAAAGAAGGCTAAAAGGAAAGCAGAGGCTGTGCTAGTTTCCTCGAAGCAAGAGCCTGCAAATGACACACAAACAGTAGCAAAAAAGAAAAAGAAAGTGGAAAATAAATCCAGAAACTGTCAGGAAGCTCAAAAAAGAGAAGTAAAATTGGAGGTGCCTAAAAAACTGAACTCTTGCCTTAAGAAAAACAGAAAAAAGAAAGCTCTGAAGAATAAGCACAGTAAGAAAAGCAATAAGCCTGATCAGGAAACGGTCCACAAAGAGGTAATCCCTGAAAAGCCTCCTCTTCTAGAACAGGCCAAAAAGGGGAAGGCTGGCAGTGATGGGACTGACCAGCAGAAGGAGCCAGATCCTGTTGTTAGTCCACTGTTAGTGAGCAAGGACAGCCCGGTTCCTGATGAGGAAAGCCAGGCCATCAATGGAGAGTGCGCGCAGGACCAGGGACCACTTCCCCCACAGCTTCCAGATGACAACGTAGAGGTGAAAGACCAAGAAATGCCCACTGCAGAGGAGGAGGAGAAAGAAACTGTTGATCAGAAAGAAGTTGAAGAACAGCCTGATAAAGAGCAAGCCACATGTTCTGAGGAGTCTCCTAGTACATCATCATCCTCTCAGCAAAACTTACAGGAGCCAGCGGATGCATTACCAGGTTTGGCACCTCAGCTGGACCTGGTGCAAACTTGTGAGGCAGAACCGGTGATTAATCCAGATCCAGTAGATCTGTCTGAAACAGAGATGCCAGCTGAAGAACCAGCACCACAGTCACCAGAGAAGTGTGAGTCAGACCCTAAGGACGCTCTGGCCTTGGCACCTGCAGATAACGTGGCAGCGAATGAATCTCAGGAAATGGAGGAGGACGAAGGCATCCACAGTCATGACGGCAGTGATATAAGTGACAACGTGTCAGAAGGAAGTGATGATTCCGGCTTGAATGGTGCTCGAGCAGTGCTGGAGGAAACAAGTAGCAAAGCGGCACAGGAAGCTGCAGAGGCCAAGATTGCAAAGGAGAACTATGTGTGTATTTTTTGTGACCGCTCATTTAAAAAAGAAGGCGAATACAGTAAGCATCTCAATCGCCACTTAGTGAATGTGTATTATCTTGAGAAGGCAACAAAGGAGCAGGAATAACCAAACTGCAGTTTGATGGCAAGGTTATCCTTTTGTTTGTAAGATCTCACACAGCTTATGTACAGTTCTTACAGGCTGTTTAAAGCATGGTTTGCTTTAATTAGTGTCTACATTTTTTTAAGTTGAAAATACTTTTGCCAACTTTTTGTGTAATGTTGACTTCATTAATTGTATGTCTTGATTAAAGAAGACATGTAGGGTATGCGAGGCTATATATTATTAAATCAGCGTAAGCCTCTAGTCTGTTCGTTTCTGCACAAATTATTTTATAAATTGAGTTTTAGCAAACAGACTATAGCTACACCTGCATAATTCAAATGCTTTTTGAACCAATGGGATAAGTTTCTTTTCTTTCGGAGCAGTTTTTCTCAAACTAATTTTTAGTTCAGTTATCATAACATATCTTTGTATGATAAGTGTTAAATTACTAATTGATTTTTCTACAAGGAGGATGACTTCTGTTTCATTGAAAGAGCACTTTGTAAAACAAATTAAATTTGTCTAGAGATAAACATAATCATTTGAAGATAATTGTCATTTTGAATATACATTTCAAATCCCCTAATCACGAGCAGTAAGCCAAAATTTGGAAGTAGTATTTCCAATTTTGTTGATTGGAAAACACATATCTTGGTAAATGTGTTATTTGAAACAGTGGTTGTAATTGGCATAGTTAGGAGGGAAGGAAGGGTTATTTTTTAATCTTTACTTTTGATTGTGCTTTAAAGGGCTTAAAATATTGCACATTATAGTTTTGATTTTTACCTATGCAGTTTAATCCTTTAGAATAGCATTTGTGCAGGATATGTACACTCTATATGCATGTTTTATTTTGTTTGTGTCATTTTTTTATGTTGAAAGTTTCAGATTTGTTGCTTACCATGGGCCAGTTTTCTTTAATATTCTTTCCTACAGTTCTTGTTTTCATGGGGTATAGTTATTGGTTGCTGGTTATATTTTTTAAGTAGCTTTAAAATTGTATCGTTTTTGGGCAAAGGATGATGATGCAGGTTCAAAACATTTTGAATAAGCATTTGTGGCATTTTCATTGTATTTTGTCATGAAAATATTACTTCTGCTATTTGTAATTCATATAGTTTATTCCTTCTAATTAATTTATAACTTGTGATCACCATAAAGTGGGATATTTGTTCTAGAGGGAAACATATTGCGCATTTCTATGAACCTTGGCTTTTTTCTTCTACTCCATTGCAATATGGGCAACTCTAAATCTCATGGTTAAAATAACTGTAGCACTGCTTTGTAAGTAGGAATCATCCAAATCCAGAACCCTGTGCACCAAAAAGACTGGTAAGCAACAAACCTGGAATTAGGAAAGATGTAGAATTTCTTGTTCTTTATTCATTCAAGATTAATTAAAACAATTAAATAAATAGCCTTGATCTGTTAAGGGTGACAAAATAATAAATTGGTGGCTGTATTATAAACTCATGCTGATATGTGAGGAAAGTCATATAAGTAGTATTTGAATACAGGGTTCACTGCAGAACAAAACGTGGATGGTTTTCTGAGGCATGCAAGTGTTAGGCTGCGTGTGTGCTAGCTGTGTGTCAAACAGGTGAAAAAAACCCCCATCTTTGCAGCAAGGAAATCCACATTTAAGTGCTTATTTCCATTTTGGAAAGGGTGCAACCTCCTTGGCTTTTCAGCCCTGAATGCTTGCTTGGCCTCTGCGGAGCAGTGGCTGTGCAGTCAAATGTCAGAAGAGCAGAGCCCCCCCCCCCCCCCAGGCTGCATTTTGTGACAATTTCTCTGAATATGAACTCTGCCAAGAGAAAAATAAACTCCTGCTTTTCTTCCTCCGCCCCCACGGGACAGGAGAATTTGTATTTATTCTAATGACTTTTTGTTTTGCCTAGAGACGTAACATGTTCTAGAAACTGCACATCAGTGTGCTTAATGTTACTTGAATGAATAGAGAACAACACACTGCTTCTACTTATGGGAGAGATTGAGAGATTGGTAGTGGGAGGCCAAAGATTTGTGGGGGGAAGATCCCTCAAGACAGACAGAAACTGTCTAATGTATAGAGAGTTTGTGTGTGATTAGATAGTATTCAGTGCTTACCTTGGCTGTGACAATCATTGTCAACTGAAGATCAAGTTGCAACTATATTTATGTTAAAACATTAAGTAAATAAACCTAGTTGAATTGTCTTTCTAAACAACCAGATGTGATAGTTTTAGCTACAGCTTTCTTGTTAATAGCGTGTTGTCTTTCTATATATAAAATGTTACCTTCTTGTGTAAGAGAGTTGAACTGACTGGGAATTCCAGTGATGTGTAGAGGTTCTATGGATACCTTCATATTTTTCAGAAGTGCTGTTACCATCTGGCAAGAGATTTAAAGAACTTTAATTCTATTGAGATAAAGTCTTTAGACAAGCCTGGCTTTTGAGCTAGAAATAAAAATATGGCAGTGACATGGAGTAAATTGAAACTAATTGCCATCAAATAAAAGCAGCCTTATGTTTCTCCATGTTAACAGTGTATGCAGCTGGGACACAGGCAGGGCTAAGCCCTTTATGCTCACAGGGACACCATGACAAGAATAATGCCTATATTAGGCAATATTCTTTATCACAAAATTTGAAAGTGAAAATAAATGTGTTAACTATGAACAGAAATAAAATGTGGATTCTTCCTACTTAAAAATATACTGGAGATGCAGTCTTTTTGCCTTGAAATACTCGGATGTGAGAATAAAACTATGCTGGAATTCCCAATTTTCTGATTTATTTTTAATAGAGCTAAAGATAGGAATTTGGAAGTATGTGAAGGTAAAGCAGCAAAAGATGTAATATGTCACTTATTTCTAACAATATGCTTAGACATTGCTAATGAAATATTTGAAATAGGTGTAAAACTTAGATAACCTCCCTTATGTGTTCCAGAATATGTATTTTTAACTCTCTCTTTAAACATATGTACCACATTGTGTTTCTTTTCCAAGAAAGTTAAATTATTTTGTGTACTTTGTTGCCAGTACTTCTTCCCTGCCATAGGGTTTCTGGGCAACAAAGCCCGTGACAATATCCAACTGTAAGATGTGGCTGGAAGGATTGCTGCAGGCATCCACGTAATGGTATCCCACTCTGCCAGTCCCCCATACTGAGTAATATAGTTTTTGGGGCTTTCACATATCTGGAAATATACACTCAAAAAGTGACCACACAAGAAACTTTAAAGTGGATAACCAGGAACGTGTAATCCATGGCAATTGCCATTTCTGAATTTTGATCAACTAGGCTGGAACTTTACATCCTTTGAAAAATCCAAACTGACAGGTCAGTTAGTATCCAATAACGTTGTTGATTTCAACAGAATTATAATGTCGCTGATAAGTGTTAAACCAAATTCAAGATGGCTCTTGAATTTTGGTGGTGTAGATACCTGATTTACATACAATATTAACTAAATCCAGGTAGCTAATGGAATTGTTCCACATGTATATATGCTTTTTTCTAAAATTACACTAGCTAACGAACTTTTGTAAGCTGGCATTGAAACATTTGTATAATGTTTTGTTGCACCACGTTTGAAGCTTTTACAGTGCAATACTTCTATTATTTTCTGAATTAAACCAAAGGTAATTTTTTCATGCTGTTTATCTACTGTAGTGCATGACAACTTTTTATACATTTGTAATAGATGTAAAACAAACCAGATCACAAGTTCTGTTTTACCTAAACTATGTACAAGTCTTTTGTTCAAAATGTAGTGTAAAGTTAAACTAAATTGCATTCTATTAACTTTGAGTGTATTTTCCTAAGCATAGTCATGATTAAATAAACTTCATTAAACATGTGGCTTATCTACCTTTTATTAATAAACAGTTGTGCTGTGAAACTTGTCTGTAAATAAACCCTTGCATTCGTTAGTAACATTCATATGGAACCAGCTTTGCTGTATGGGCCCTGCAGGCTACTTGTGGCCAAGAGGGGCCCCGACTGCAGTAAAACGGGGTGGTTCTGATGCAAAGGCATGATACAGGCACCTTGTGCACTAGTGTATGAGCTCTTTGGAGAGACACGGTGGGTAGCGAGTTTCTTTCATTGGATCAACTTCTCTTGGTGAAAGAGACAAGCTTCCAAGCTACACGGAGCTCTCCAGGTTTTTCTAGAGACGGGGATGGTGGCTATGCGATTGACTGGCTCCACCAGACTTCAGGGAATAGCACCATAGACAGCCACTGCTATCTGGAAATTGCAGCCTAAGGGAGGCCCGCAGAAAACTCCCCAACACAGAGGGCTGCTTATTCAGGTGTGCGGTAGGACCACGACTGCCCCTCAATCAGTGGTTCTCAGCTTATTTTCCATGCAGCTGCCTGTTATCTGGACTGCATCCACACCATCATGGCCCTAAGTCTGTCACAAGGGCTGCAGCTGTGTGCTGACTGGGCTGCAAGTGGCCCACAAACTGAGAACTACTGTTTCAATGAACTTGCTGTTGAAACTAGTTTAAAAATACTGACAGCCAAGTAGTTTGGGCTTAGACTTTGACTTGTCTTTGCAGCCGTCTATCCCTTGCTAGGGGACATCCTCCAGATTCTAAACATACAGGTCACATCCCTGGATGGACAAACGTGAAGAGGAACATGACTTGATGGCAGTTCTAGTTTGCAAATGACATACGTGGCTCTCGTGCTAAATGGCATTTTTTGTGTCTGAGAAAATCCATCCTTTTATTACGATTCACAGATTTTGAATGTTACCTTGTAACAACGTCTCTTATGACATATAAAAGCAATGTTACTAGTTGTATTGGATGGTTTGGGCATGCTAAATGCCTAACTTCCTCCTGGGCTGGCTGGGTTATATCAGAAAGAAGGTGGTTGTCTTTAAAGTGAGCACTAAGGTCCTGTTTAATTCAGGCCATGAAAAGTCAGCTGTCAGCTGGTTGGCAATGTTACGTCTGCTTTGAACGTGCCTTGTGTGAAAGGCTTGTAAGAGTCACACTGGAAATGTCTAACACACTCCAGAAAGTGGGATATCCTGGAATGACGACTAGTCCTCGCCCTGAAATCCTCTCCTTTTACACAGTGGAGGCACAAGCTGTGCCCTTCCCCACCACAGAGTTAGCTATGTGAGGAAGGTAGGGTGTTTCCGTCACCCTCTCCTCTCACCTGGAGCAGCAGAGGGTGGGTGCAGCGCCGTAGGGCCCCAGAGAGCCCTTCCAACATCAGGCACTCGCTAACAGAAGACAGCAACCTGGAGCAGCAGAGGGTGGGTGCAGCACCATAGGGCCCCAGAGAGCCCCTCCAACATCAGGCACTTGCTAACAGAAGACAGCGTTCCTGACCCTTTCTTTTTCTCTTCCCCAGGCTTCTGCACGGAGCCTGAATGCGAGGAGTAGCTAAGGGAGGAGTGGAGCAGACAGGCCAGTAAACTGGGACAGAAGAGAGATAGTTTGGCGAGGGAGGTCTTGTTCCAAACATCACTCTGAACCTTTTACTCAACCCTTGTCAATGCAGGCTGGAATTTGATGCCTAACGCTCACTGACCTTTTCATGGGACTTGGGCAGTGAACGGGCTCCTTTGTAAATCCCATCGTATGCCAGGAGCTCTTTGGCACAACACAGCCTCTGCGCACACCTGGCCAGCACTCCGCACAAGGAGGATGTTGCTGGAAATAGCCCAAGGAGGCTGCTTGCTCCCGATTTAAATGCACGCAAGAAGGGGAGAGAGTGGTATCCGAGCCCCAGGCAGCCAGCTAGCGAGAGCTGTGGGCATCGCTGCAATAGGGAGCAGCTCTCTGTAGCCCTCCACGTGTTAGTGATACTCACTGCTGGGTGGGACGCTGTGACCTTCCCACTTCTCAGTGGCTCTGCTTGAAAGCCGTGGCTTGTTCTGCCTGAACTCCGGCTATCGCTGGGGTCCCCTTGGGGAGAATTCACTTCAGTCTGAGGCTCCACACGGGTTCGTCAGCTAGAGCACCTGTGCTGGATGAAGGTAAATTTACTATGGTGTTAATCTTGTTTCTCAGCCGGGCGACTGCCCCGGTCATGTCATGACAACTCAGGTAGGTTGGAACACACGTAGTTGTAGTGAAATGATCATTGTGACAGAGAAGGTGAAAGGGAGGTTAGGGAAGAGGTTAGAGAAGAAGCCCACTCCGAGTGCGTCTGCACTGGAGACTTTCGGTGCAGCTGCGATTGGCTGAACAGTGGTGTCACCATGCTGGCCAGAGGGCGTGGCCACCAGCCAATAGCAAGCAGCAAGCCTGATGCCGGGACATGGCTTATAATCAACATGTGGAAGAAGGCTGTTGGGACAGCACGGGAAGAGTTGGGGGCGGGCAACGACTCACCCTTTTTGATCAATATGCTTAGCCATGGTCTTCCCTGGCCACCTTACCTCAGAGCCGCTGTAAGGAGGGAGGGACGGGAAGCCGGCTCTCTTACTATAGCCCGGCTCTGGCTGTAGCCCATGCCTGTTAGCCCACACGCATGATTGTTAGAGGGCCTGACGAGGATAAGCCCAGTGCCAATAAGAGTAACTGAGGCTCTGTTATTACCTGGATGGGTTTGCCCCCGTGAATCCGAGTAAAAGCTCCTTTAGTATATCCCCTCCTTGCTCAGCTGGTTAATTCCTCACGGAGCTGGTGGGGAAGAGGTTCCCCACCTAGGAAATGTTTAGACAAAAACATAAAATCCAATGCCGGATAAAACATCCCAGTGAGGCGATCTGCTCTGGAACGGTCTCTGCGTCATGTAGGCAGTGCCAGAATTCTCCCCTGGGTCCTGTTCTTGGGCGCTTCTGCTGTTCACACCATATTCTGTCCTCAGACCCTTCCTGCTGCTCAGCCTCCAGCAGGCAGCTTGGGTTATTTGGCTGCCTGGCCCGTGAGGACAGAGATTGCGTTTTGCTGGATTGATCGTCTCCACCCTGGACTCCTGGCAAGGGCCAGTCCTCTCGCTGCCCCAGCATTTCCAGTGGTAGGACGAATCTTGCACTAATCACAGCTAAAAGCAAGACTGGCTGGCGGCAGCTACTCTTCCAATCAGGGAAAGCGATTAAGGCGAGTGTGGTATATACAACATGCAAAAGACTTGTTCTGTGCCCCAGGACCTAATCTGCCCTCCGCGGTGTGTTCACTGAAGGCTGGAGATGAATAATCTGCTGCATTTGGCACCATCCGCACCTCTTGCCAAACATTTCTGTGCAAAATGTTTTGTGGCCATGCACCCCACTGTGCAAAACAGGAAGGTGGGTTAAGCGGTGGGACATTCACTGTGTGTATTAATGGGAGGGGCACAGCTGAGCTAAGAGCTCCCAGTGCTGCAAATTCCCCCTCAATGAGTCTGGCTCATTATTTATTTCATTTTGATCACTGGCTCTTTCCCCACTCAGTCTAGTACACACTTGCGGTTTTTGTGATCTGTCCGTGGTACTTGCTGTACTCGGGTAGGCCCCATCTCCACCGCGGAAGTGCAAAGCAAAAATGCAGTTGATTTCTGTGGAGAGCACCTCCTCTCAACACTGCATGGCGCAGGAGCTGTGCAGGCAGGCACGCACACAGGTGAAGAAATTCAATGTACTGGTAAGTTTTATTTTTCTCACCCCTTTTTTCTGAGGGAATCCTTGGGGTAGCTCCTTGTTCAGTGAAAATTTTGCTGCTTGTGCATCACACATACCAACATTGCAGTGCAATCCTCCTAAGCCTAGTAGAAGTGGGGAGGATTGCTGGAAGAAGTGGAAACTGAACTGTGAGCCAAACCTTAGGGCTACGTCTAGACTGGCATGATTTTCCGCAAATGCTTTTAATGGAAAACTTTTCCGTTAAAAGCATTTGCGGAAAAGAACGTCTAGATTGGCACGGACGCTTTTCCGCAAAAGCACTTTTTGCGATCAGGGCTTTTTTGCACAAAACAAATCTGAGCTGTCTACACTTGCACTTTTGTGCAAAAGCTTTGTGCAAAAGGGACTTTTGCCCGAACGGGAGCAGCATAGCATTTCCGCAAGAAGCACTGATTTCAGACAGTAGGAAGTCAGTGCTCTTGCGGAAATTCAAGCGGCCAGTGTAGACAGCTGGCAAGTTTTTCCGCAAAAGCAGTTGCAGGGGCAGTGGGAGGGTAAATTACGTAATGCCTGACGGGGCCAGACGGCCGAACTAGAAGTCCTATTGAAAAGGATTTGCCACCCATGTCCAGTGAAGCATGGGCCTCCTGCGTGCAGCTCCCACTGCTGTCGAAGGGGGTCTCGGCTCAGGCAGCGGTGCGCCAGGCGTCGGTTGTTCACGTCCAGTGCCAGGTGTGGCGTGTCTCTGGCAAAGGCAGGCGGGGTGTTGGAGTACGTCGCGGGTGAAGCACGCCGTGTGCTGTGCGGAGGCAGGAACAGGCTCACTCTGCTCCTGGGCAGTCAGAGCCCTGGGCAGCATTCCAGAGGAAAGGCTGACACAGCACGTCTTGGCTGGCACACGTGGAAGGGCTGCGCTGATTCGCCCTAACCAGACACAGCTGTAGGTGTGGCACGCGCTGCCCGGGGCGCAGCGGCCTAACGGTGCTCCTGGGCCCTGCTCCTGCCCTTGCTGTGGGGTAGAAAGAGCTGCTCTACCGCTGGGGTGACAACCCTGCTTCCAGCGGGGCTAGCCCATTTCCACATGCATCCCAGGAGCCGGCGGGCAGCCCTAGCTGCAGCAGCAACACATCTGCTGCAGGTCGCTAAGGCCTGTAAGCCTTGGGGCGCCTGATGGCATCTCCTCAGGGGAAATCCTGGCCCACCGCACTCACTCCATTGCTCCCTGGTGCTCCGACTCAAAGGACCATTGGGCTTTACACTGGCCTTCAGCACAACACAAGGCCAGAGGGTGTCTTGCAACTCCTCCTGCATCAGGCCATCGCTTCTGCTTGGGCTACAGCATGTTTTCCAGAGAGGATCCCAGCTTGTCTCACCCTGCTAAGGCTAACCAGCCCAGCTCTGTGGTGTCTCGCCCCCCCCCCCCCCCCGGGAGGATCTACTGCCCTTCCCCAGGGCCACACAGCCAGCCTTGCTGTGACCATTTCCCCAAGACAGTCACAATGGGAACCCCTGGATTTCCCCTCCCATTCCCAGCCCCCCCCCCATTCTCTACCATTCACTGAGTGCACAGACTGAACGCTGAGCCAGGCTGAATGCTGTAAGCTACCAGACGGAATAAAACCCCCTTTATCATCGTGCTATCAGGCATACGCTGATTTGCTGGTCAGCAGAAAAGGGCTATTTATCTGTTTAGTATTTCTACGGCAGGGGCACTCAGCCTTCCTAGGCTACTGTACCCCTTTCAGGACTCTGATTTGTCTTGGAGGACCGCAAGTTTCAGCAGCATAAGCAAGTCACTGTATGAAATTTTAGTTTGTACTGACTTTGCTAGTGCTGTTCATGTAGCCTGTTGTAAAACTAAGCAAATCTCCAGATGAGATAGACAGACCTGCGTATATCTCCAGATTGAGAACCACTGCTAAGTGCCCAAGTCGATACATAGCAGCACCCCGGCCATTCATTTTTCTCCTTAACTCCTGCTCCAGTAAATGACTTATTTGTAGATCAACTACAAACATGCACTGAAATACCATTCGGATTTCATCAGACTAATGCATAGGTATCTAGTACAAAAAAGTAAAGATACATTACAGCAGTGTTTCTCAGCCTTTTAAATATATAAAGTACCCCCTTTTCAAAACAAAACAAAACAGTAGCCCCAGTACCTACAGTACATTTTTGTTCTACTATTGCAACACATTTGATTAAACAACTTAATCGTAGCTCCTGCACTAACTGGAATTCTTCAGGGTATGCCCCCCATAGGTACACATCTCATCATCTGCCTGTGGTCTGAAAATGTCAGTAGCAGCACCCCTTCAGCCATGCACCCTTGTGCTCTGTACCATGAACACAGACAGCTATGTAGGCAAACCTCCTCCCCAGTTTCTTCTCAACCATGTCAGTCAGGAATGGAGCATTGAGCAGACCTGCTTCCCTGGCTCAGCCATAGCTGAGGGTTTTTCCTGGGCTTTTTATGTCTGTTTTACATTAATTAAACCAGTTTTTGCAGCAGAATGCAGCAAGCACGATTTTTGGCTAGTTTACTGAGCTATGGGCTGTTTCCATGCCTGCTTCATGATTATTCTCATTCAGGCCTTACCAATACAATGGCTATTCTGAGAGTTTTTTAAAATCCATTGGTGGTTGAAATGCCTTGTCAAGGCTTTGATTCACACCCTCCTTATACTGATAGCACGGAATCTTGTGTATCTGTCTAAGTAGTTATTTGAGAAGTGAAACCACATTGTACATGGCTCATTTTGGTTTGGAACAGATTCATGACTGGTGAGACTGAACTAATGCTCATTTTCTATAGATTAGTGGTGTTTAACAGCCTACTAACCCAAGACTTTGGAAGACCTGGTTTTGAAGCATCTTCCAACTGCAGCCCCTTTTTTCTGGACCGACTTCCTTATATATTTACCAGGTGGGCTATCTTACAAAAAATGGTGTCCATTGAAGAGTGGACAAAATCATTTGCCATCATTTGTAATCACCATCCCTTGGTAAAGATGGCAGAAGCCAGGTGATTTTACACACATGCTTTCAAAAGTCTTTATGTAAACGTCATAATCAGCAAGTTTAGTATCCACTCGTGACATAGGACAGCAACATCAGTTTCATTCTTTTGCCTTTATTAAAGGAGTTTTACTGCTTATTTCCTTATGGCTGATGTTCAAGAAGAGGTAAGAGCACAGGTCCCCACCTGCACTGCATCCACTCACCAAATGCAGCAGGGCTGTCTGGACACACATGGCTATCCTGTCAATACATTGTTATAGACTAGTGACCTTTTGGTAAGTTATGCTGGGAAGGGCAAAACAAAGGCTTCCCCTTCCCCTGATGTGCTTATGCCTCTTCTCACCCCAGGAGCACTCATGTGAGGGAATTCTCTTGTCCTCCAACCCTGCAAATAGCCACTTCCCTTGGCAGAAGCCACATTCCTCCCCCTGCCCTGACTGGCTGGGCAGCACGCACACATCACGGGGGAGAGCGCAAATGGCAAAGCTGCAGCTCAAAAGGGCACGAGAATTCAGTATTCTAGTAAGATTAAAGGCTTTTTGACAAGCCCTGTTCAGAAAGGTCAAGTCTGACCTTAGTGTTCTGTGCAGCGGGGCAGCATCAAAGAGCTGCGGTTCTCAACCCAGAGCCCAACCAGCTCACAGGTGTGGCCTATGCATGCTGGAGTCCAGCAGGTTCCTGGCTGCATGGGAGTCTGAGCAGCTGGCCCATGCCATGTGGCAGGTGTTCTTCTTTGGGGCTGTCACCCGCTTCCACACCCTCTGGGATGTGGGGTAGGCAGCTGGTCTGGGATGCTGCTGCCCTGCCACCTGTGCCCTGAGGACCAGGTAACACACTGTGGGCCGGTAATCTTTGAGAACCACTGCCACAGAAGGGAATTTCAGCTCAAAGGGGCAGAGACATCAACTGTGCCAGCCGCTCCCCTTGTTACAAAAAGCTGCACTTGACTGGGGAGAGCAGAGTTAATAACGTTATTTGCCTCCTGAGCTCATCGTCATGATGAAGAGACTGATGACTGTACATTTTGGGCAAGTCACAGCATGGGAATGTTTTGCAGGAGCTCTCAGTTGAGGCTCCCGTCTGATTTCCTCCGTTCAGCTGTGTACTGTGCTGCCCTGGTTCTTATCGGCTTTTCTTTAAAGTTCTACACTACTGCAAAGAGGTCTCCTGGGATGGTCTCTAGAGGCTTCTTTCTGAAATCTTCCCACTCATTTCATGTACAAGGCCAAACACACAAACGAGTCTCCTGTCCAAACATCTGTAGCAACTGGAGATTGGCATGTTCTGACAGCTTCACTAAAGCCCTCCCTGCTGCAGCTTCCCAGCCTGACAGCAGCCTGACTCCACATATGTCAGGGGAACCAGCAGGAAAGTGCAGTGATGCCACATCCGACTGTCTAATGTATGACTGAAGAGTCTGAATGACACAAGTCATCAGGTAATGGGAAGTGTAGACTGCAAATCATGTGAGCCCCCGGGCTGCACACTACACAGCAGGCTGATGCATGCTTCACACGGACATGTGCCGGATCTTTCAAACATGTTTTACAAAGCCAGTCTGAAAATGTTTTCTACAGAGTTCCACGACCAATTATTTTTGTGTATGGCTCACAGCCAGTTACATGTCCAAGGGCTTCGCAGCTCCTGTGCAGCTTACATTTTAGGTACCTTTTTTTCCATTGGTTTATTTGACTTTATGTTTTCCACTAAGGGAGATGGCTTTTTAGTTCTATAGGCCACACTTCCTTTGATGCGTTTCCCTTTGATGGCAACAATATGTGGTAGCAGAGGAGGTTTACGAATCATCAGGGCTGTTCCTTCAGGAGTATAGGCTCGCAGCTGCAGTTTGTCTTCCAAGTGAGCCGTTATCGCAACCCAACCTGGGTAGATACCAGAACAGAATCCAGTTAGTTACAACCTCTCTCAAAGAAAACAAAAATCCACTGGATCGCATTTAAACAACAGAAAGGGGGCACCAACATCAATAAGGGTCCGATTCTCACACAGATTCTGCACCCAACAGGCCTCATTTAGACAAAGAATGGCAGCTGCTGGATGCCACGCACTTTTGAAAATCTAGCTCCGGTTCATAATCACCGGCTGCAGGCATTTTGGTCGGCACTGTGTCACCTTCCCTGGTCAGAAGTAGGATGTAAAAAACGAATACAAGTATTTACCATGTAACCAATACAAATTCTGTTAACCACTCCCAGGGCTGGGGTTTCTGGCAGCCTCAAGAAGAGTTTAACCGGTGGGGCTACAATAAGTGTGAGCTTGTCAGTGAACCGGTCAAACTCTTACATCCCTAGTCAGAAGGCCATTGCACGTCACACAAGGCAGCCATAATGAAGTGACATCCAAGAGGAAGGGTACACAGCAGGCATGGATACTAGGGATGTAAAATCCCATTTAATTGGCTAACCTGTTAAACACATTGTTTAACCAGTTAACAGATTAAAGGGGGAGCTGCAGCCCCTCCAACCCCCCACTGGAGCAGCCCCTGCCTGTGGTGGGCCAGGACACCCCGCAGGCAGGGGCTGCTTCATGAACTGGAGCAGCCCCTGCCCGCGGCAGAGGGGAGCTGCTCCAATCCCACCAGTTAACCTTAACCAGCAAGCCTGGCTGGTTAATCTTTCCCATCCCTCGTCGATACCCCGCACGGTGAGGTGGAATGCAGAATTACCAGCAGAGGACAGCTTTATGTCAGCCACTGCCTCGAAGATGCCAATCCCTTCCAGCGTGATATCCTGAGCAGTAAGTGGTGGGAATTCTCTCATTCGTTCTTCACCTCCTGTGGGCACCTGACAATGCCGGACAGAAGAGGGGTTAACAGCTAACGAGAAAGACAACTTTAACCTTCTCCTACATTACAGAGCAAGTTACAGAGTGAAGTGCAGCAACTCAACTGTTTCTATTCTAACCGACACCAACACGAGTGACTGCTCTCACATTCTACACTAGTGCCATTTTCATAGAAAAGTGAAGGGACATTTTGTCCAGAAGCAAATCTCAAGGTGATAAAGATCTCACTGAGCTATCAAACTAGTAGGTACCTTAGAGATGCCAAGAAGCAGCTATTACAATATCAGAGCCTGTCCTATTGGATTCAATTCCAGGTGAGTTCAATGACATAGCCGAAGATACTAATTACTACAAAAGTACAAAAACTCTTCTATTGGTCAGTCTCAGAAAAGGAGCAATAATTCAGCATGAGCACTGAGCTGTACTGTTGCTTTGCAAGTGAAGATCAATACCAGAACAGATGGCCTGAAACTGCTTCAGAAAGTAGAAAATGTATCCTGTGGCTAGGGACGCTTGAATATTCATTAGCAAGAGAGTTTCCATTAGTGGTATCACCAAAGGAAACAAGTTACAACTCATGAAGAGATGCACACACATACACTGAGGTCCTGCTTATGGGAAGACAAAAGGTGCATTTTAAAAATGTGAAAGCTAACACCTATTAGTGTTGAAAGGGCAAAGTTATAATATTACTTTAGCTGGTGGAGGCAAACTGGTGGCAGAGAAGGGGGCAACAGAGACTTTTAACTTAATCAGCTAATTCTGTTAAGAACATAAGAACGGCCAGACTGGGTGAGACCAAAAGTCCCTTTAGCGCAGTGTCCTGCCTGCCGACAGTGGCCAATGCCAGGTGCCCCAGAGGGAGGGAACACAACAGGGAATCCTCACGTGATCCCTCCCGTCACCCACTTCCAGACAAACTGAGACCAGGGACGCCATTCCAACCCATCCCGGCTAACAGCCACCGATGGACCTAACCTCCATGAATCTGTCTAGATCTTTTTTGAACCCTGTTAAAGTTCTAGCCTTCACCGCATCCTCTGGCAAGGAGTTCCACAGGCTGACTGTGCACTGAGTGAAGAAAAACTTCCTTTTGTTTGTTTTAAGCCTGCTGCCTATTCATTTCATTTGGTGACTTGGGTTTTTTTTTTATTGTGGGAATAAGTAAATCACTTTTCCTTATTCACTTTTCCCACACCACTCATGATTTTATAGACCTGTCATATCCCCCTTTAGTCTCCTCTTTTCTAAGATGAAAAGTCCAAGTCTTTTTAACCTCTCTTCATATGGGACCCATTCCAAACCCCTCAGCATTTTTGTTGCCCTTTTCTGAACCTTTTCCAATGCTAATATATCTTTTTTGAGATGAGGCGACCACATCTGTACACAGTATTCAAGATGTGGGCGTACCATAGTTTTATACAGAGGCAAAAAGATATTTTCTGTCTTATTCTCCATCCCTTTTTTAATGACTCCTAACATTCTGTTTGCTTTTTTGACTGCCGCTGCACACTGAGTGGATGTTTTCAGAGAACTATCCACAATGACTCCAAGATCTTTCTCTTGAGTAGTTGTAGCCAAATTAGTCCCTGTCATAATCAGGAGTGCTGACCATCACCCGGTGACTAAGGGGTTAACTAAAGCCTCCTAGCCAATATATCGGTGGTCAGCCAATAAAAATGCAGGTAGGAATTTCAAACGGAGAGAGGGGGGTTTCTCTCTCTCTTTGTTTGAGATTCAGAGCAGTTTCTCCCAGCTACTGAGGGAGATGGGAGACACTTCTCTCTCCAAGAATGGACTTCTTAACATGTGTAAGTAGGAAAAGTTTAGATAGTCCATCAGGGTTTATTATTTTCCTTGTTTGGGGATTTGAAAATAATGTCTGAGCTTGCTAACTCTTCCTTTTTTCTCTTTTGTAACTAAGCCTTCAGCCCAAGATTTTTCCCCAAGTATCTATATCAACGGTGGCTCTTTTCATCTAGCCAATTTACTAAGCTTGCAATTGTAGTTTTGTTTTGATAACAAAATATTGTTTTTTTTAAGTAACTGGTAGTGATTGATTTTTTTGTATCCTGGAGGGTCTGTGTGTATCTGCATGCCTCTGACTGAGGGGTCAGCTACCACAGACTGAAGCACGCTTTTCTCTTTTCTTTTTCAAGCTCTTTTGGGGAAAAAGAGCTTGGGGTACCCCATGGGCTGGTTTCAAGTGTCCACCTGTTTGTGGGTTCAAAAGCACTTGACAGTGGCAGCTGGCCCCCCAAAATATGATAGATGGGTGATTGGGGGGGGGGGGGGGGGGGGAATTTTTGTACCAGAGCCTGTAGAGGCAAGGTTTTGGAGTGTTCTTCTGCATTTGTCATGCTGGAGTGGGGAACAGCCTTGACAGTCCCCTTCATATTGTATATATCGTTGGGATTATTTTTTCCAACGTGCATTACTTTACATGCACGTTATCAACGTTATTTTCATTTGCCATTGATTGGGGGGGGGGGGGGGGGGGGAATTTTTGTACCAGAGCCTGTAGAGGCAAGGTTTTGGAGTGTTCTTCTGCATTTGTCATGCTGGAGTGGGGAACAGCCTTGACAGTCCCCTTCATATTGTATATATCGTTGGGATTATTTTTTCCAACGTGCATTACTTTACATGCACGTTATCAACGTTATTTTCATTTGCCATTTAGTTTGGTGACATCTTTTTGAAGCTCTTCCCAGTCTGCTTTGGTCTTAACTACCTTGAGCAGTTTGGGATCATCTGAACATTTTGCCACCTCCCTGTTTACCCCTTTCTCCAGATCATTTATAAATGCATATACACGTGGGTGGTGGGTGAAGGCAGGGCTAGGGGAGGCAAGATCCTAGCCCCCGCTTCTGCCCAGGCCACCCCCGCCATGGGAGCCAGGCCCAGCACCATGGGGAGGTGGAGTGGCACATAGCCCCAGCACCACAGGAAGGGGGGACAGCATGCAGCCCCGGCAGCATAGGGAGGGTGCATGGCCCTAGCCTCTCCAGCCCCAGCCCCACAGGAAGGAGGGACAGCATGCAGCCCCGGCGCCTTAGGGAGGGTGGAGGGTGCAGGGCCCTAGCCTCTCCAGCCCCAGAGCACAGGGAGGTGAGGTGGTACCTTGGGGAGGGCAGGCGCTCTACCCCCCTGTTGTTTGTGTGGGTTGGGCAAGGTTCTAAAATCGAGGGTGAGGATAATGCACTCTCTCTTATTTCTCCCTGGAAGGGGAAGAATCTCTGACAAGACAATGCAGAGAGTTCTAGCATGGACTCAAAGCCTCTGCTGGGTCATGCACAGGAAAACCAGTAACACGACCTTACTCCTTACATACCAGAACACCAGATAGAAGGTGTCCTCTTACCTTCAGTAATGTGTCTCCAGCATGCTTCTGATAGATGCCGTCTGCCTTCTCCAGGGTAGTCACATGGACTGGCAACAGGTTAGAAGCCACAACAGAAAACCAGGAGGATTTTGCTCCCTAAAAATCAACGGGGGTGTGTGTTTAACAAACTGAATGCTGTAAAGATGCTTACAAGTTGCTGTCCACCATTCTCCCACCTTCTGCTTAAAAGCAGTTACATCATTCTCTCTTCTAGGCAGGGTCACAGGCTTTGCCTACACTGCCAATTGAGTGGTGCTTTCCCTTCCCCCCAAATGACAAGTGGCACTGTAAATGGCTTGTTGTGGACCTCACTTTCCTTCTACTACAGGAACCAACGCACCCCTCCCCCAGTATTTTATCAGCAAAAGCGGGACAAACAGCATTTACACTGCCAGACTTTTAGTTACCTGCCCTTTCTGTAAAAGTTGTGTAGTGCAGACAAAGCCTTGGTCTTTGAAAAGCATCTGTACTGTTTTGCACTGCTCAGTGAGAAGGGAGAAACAATAACAGGAAACGTGGGAATGGCAGAGGTCTTAATGACTTTTGTTTTGGTCTTCACCAAGAAGTCTGAAGGAATGCATAACATAGTGAATGCTAATGAAAAGGGGGTAAGCTTAGAAGATAAAACAAAAAAGCCACATTAAAAATCACTTAAAGTTAGATGTCTGCAAGTCAGCAGGGCCTGATGAAATGTGTCCTAGAATACTCGAGATGATAGAGGAGGCATCTGAGCCTTTAGCTATCATCTCTGAAAAAATCATGGAAGTTGGGAGAGATTCCAGAAGACTGGAAAAGGGCAAATCTAGTGCCCATCTATAAAAAGGGAAATAAGAACAACCCAGGAAACTACAGACCAGTCAGTTTAACTTCTGTGCCAGGAAAGATAATAGAGCAAGTAATTAAGGAATTCACCTGCAAACACTTGGAAGGAGTACGGCAGAAAGGGATCTAGGGGTTATAGTGGACCACAAGTTGAATATGAATCAGCACTATGAAGCTGTTGCAAAGAAAGCAAACATGATTCTGGGATGTATTAACAGGTATGTTGTGAGCAAGACACGAGAAGTCATTCTTCCACTCTACTCTGCGGTGATTAGGCCTCAATTGTTGTACCGTGTCCACTTCTGGGCACCACATTTCAAGGAAGATGTGGAGAAATTGGAGAGGGTCCAGACAAGAGCAACAAGAATGATGAAAGGTCTAGAGAACATGAGCTTGGAGGGAAGACTGAAAGAACTGGGCTTGTTTAGTTTGGAAAGGAGAAGATGAAGAGCAGCCATGATAGCGATCTTCCAAGTATTTAAAAGGGTGTCATAAGGAGGAGGGAGACAAATTGTTTTTCTTGGCCTCTGATGATAGGACAAGAAGCAATGGGCTCAAACTGCAGCAAGGAAGGTTTAGGTTGGACATTAGGAAAAACTTCCTAACTACCAGGGTGGTTAAACACTGGAATAAATTGCCCAGGGAGGTTGTAGAATCTCCATCTCTGGAGATATTTAAGAACAGGTTAAACAGACATCTATCAGGGATAGTCTAGATGGTACTGGGACCTGCTGTGAAGGCAGGGGACTGGAGTCGATGACCTTGCGAGGTCCCTACCAGTTCTAGTGTTCTATGATTTTATAAACAGTGGCTTCTCTGCATATAACGGAGCTGAGATTCCGATGGAAAACACAACAGCTGTGCCACCTCAAAGCTTCTAGTCCTGAAGCAAGCCCTGAATACTCCTGATTCTATAGCTTCTGCATCATAGCACAATGCCAAGGTGCTACCATAATACAAACACAATACACGCCATTCATCTGAGAGGCCTGGGGGGACATGGCAACTTTTGGAGAACTGCATGTTGAGAGAAATGGAAGTGCTATTCGCTAACAAAGGGCTAGGAGGGGGCCTCCCTGTGGATATGGATAACTCTGGATTTTCAGATGAAAGGAATCTGGATAATTGAAATGGCACTTAAATCAAAACCTGTTCTCCACTCAGGTCATGCAATAAAGCGATAATCAAACATTGCAGAATATGTATCTTTACACTAGCTTAGTTCACACTACAGGGAGTACTGCCAGTGTGACCACCACTGGAAGGCTTATTTCTGGAGGGCATGACAGACTTCTCCTGCTCAGCTGATGCTCTCAGATCATTTCCCAGCTCCGGTAGTAAAGCATCCCTCCTGTAATACTACACTTTGCTTTGGGCACCTAGAATTCTATGAAGACTGAATCAAACCAAGGAATCTGCTCTCCTGCCGGCGCTTGGATGCAACTCCCCCCATCCGCCCAGGACAAGACTACAAACTTTTCCCATGGTGTGACGACTTGCAGTTGGCATAGTTGTGCTGACAAAAGCCGAGTGCAGATGCAGTTATAGCAGACAAAATGTGCTTTTATCAATATAGTTTATGGCAGGTCCTGGAATAAGCTAGACTAGCCCAAGTTCAATTTTGCCTGTCTATGCTGCAGCCACACTGGGAGCACTTTGCCAGGATAGTATCCTGGTATACAGGCAAAGTGCTACAAATGTAGCCCTTGCCTAAGGCTGTAGAGGAGGAGTTGGCCGAGGTGGAGCTATTTATGGACAGTCCTTAGCGTGTGTGTGGGGGTATTTTTAATTTATGTGCTAGGCATATCGAGCACAGGATGAGCATTGACAGCTGCATTTTAGAAATAGAATAAATAAAACTTCCAGTAATAATGCAAGTGTCTAAAGGGGAAAATGGAAAGCCAGACACAAACATGCCTCTGTTTTACCCTTTCCTATTAGATATTGCTTTAACCCTAGAGCAGTGGTTTCCAAACTTTTGGCAGCACGCCCCCTTTTTGATTTTTGAGAAACCCTCATGCCCCGCCACTTCCCAATAGCAGCAAAACTTGATGAGAGTATTTTTTTTTTTTAAATAAAGTAGTAACTTTTGCCAAAAATAGCAGCAAAGGGGGGGGGGGGGGAGCGGGCGGAGGGGGAAGAGAGAGAGGAGGGAAGGAGGACTGGGTCAGTTTGGGAACCCATGCCCTAGAGGAAATACTAATGACATCACATTCTATTGAAATCACATTCTATTGACAATTTCTACAACAGCTTTTGAAAAAGCTCACTCCTTGCCTTACATCAACGCGCTTTCCTTTTAAAATGAAGCAAATCATCCAAAGGGGTAATTGGCACAAGTATTTAACCACCATCTACCATAAATATCTTTAAGGGAAACCATCCCAGTTAGATGCCCGCCCAATGGAGGTTTGACCCAAAACCGTGGTGAGTGACAAGGATAAGCAAAGGACAGTAATTTTCCAGGGTTTTTTCCTATTTTATTTTGTTGGCTAGTGTTTGATAAAGTACTGTTTCCTTTCTTTTCTGATTAAATGATTCTTATAAATGTCAATGGGGAAGCAGAAATGCCATTAATTTGCTTCCTTGTGTAGTTCTTTCACGTAACACAGTGTCGCGACAGTGTCGCTTTAGAGTGGTATCATTTTGGCTACACTCAGCCCTGTCAGCTACCTTGCAAGGATTTGTCCCCCTTGTTCTTTTAGTGGCCCATCAATCTTAAAGCAATTCTCAGGTTTCACTTAGAACAAAGCTCAGGACCTCTCTGTAACATGCTGCCAGGTGTGTCTTTACAGTACAGAAACCTTTACTTTGGGGGCAAGCATGGGGCACGGCCTTTTTCTAAAGCATTTTTTACTGTACACAACAAGGTGTGTGTTTCATTAGTGAAATCTCAAGAGCAGCAGTTACCAAAGAAATGGTGAGGAAAGCTGCACAACCAGCTTGAGGGGGGAAGGTATTTTGTTACTGATTCTAACACTACAAAGCACAAACAAGATCTAATTCACAGAACATTAAAAAGCCACTCTCCCTTACCTGTAGATAATCTATACGTCCCAAAGCACCTAGAAACAAAACCATTCCAGGCTTCAGTACAAAGGTCCGTGGAACAATGGCATGAGTGGGTAAGACAATCTTTACTTCTTTCTCCGAGAGAAGATTTAAAACCTGCAAACAAATTGTGCAAACATAACTCATTCCGGATAGTTTTACAAAACACAATGAAAACAATGCTCTTGCTTTTTGGGGAAAAAGGAACATGAACACATATATCTGAACAGAGAACAGCAGGCTCAAATGACCTTATACAAGTAGAATAGTAATAGAGAGGTAGCTGTGTTAGTTTTTCCTTTTGTTTTAGCAAGATCAGACTATGTAGCACTTTAAAGACTAACAAGAAGCTCATCACCTATTAAACCATCTTGTTAGTCTTTAAAGTGCTACATGGTTTTTCCTTTTCTTATACAAGTAGGACTGTCTATTCTGTTCAGCCACTTGCTCATCTTTAGCAATTCATGTGCACTGACTTGAAGTACCTTGTAACAGGGACATTCCAAGCTAATAACATGCTTGCACCTTACATCTTTAGAGTCTGAACAGCTCAAGCCAATTTGTCCTCTGCAATGTTCACAGAATCATCTTACTGCTACTTCCTGTCCTATCAGAGTTTGCGGATAGTCCCTGCTGTGCTCCTGCATGAATGCTATTTATTGTGCAACAACCCAAAAGGAGATTGTGATCACCAGACCCCATTCTATTTTTTAGAATAGAATAGCTTTAGTCCCTTGTGATTGGATTCTCCCTGAAAACCACAACGAAAGGGTATAATGCTAGCTCCTGCTACCAGACCCCATTTTCAGTACTTGAACCCACTCCTTTCTCCTACACAATTATACTACTACAATAGACACACACATTCAAGGTTCAGACAAAAAACTGATCTGTAAATTGTTCAGTAACATGGTTGTAAATAGTGCTTAGTCCAGGCAACAGCAATAAACACCCACTTTGTAAGATGGCTGACACACTATTTGCTACAGCAAAACCACCCAGTGTGATCAATTTTACTGTGCAAAACAGGTCTTACTAGAAGCAGATGGATTTTTTTGGTGTCACGGGGACAGAAATTTATCCAAAACAATGCAGTTTTCAAGGCTCTAAAACAATATGCAAAATCACATTGAATTTGATAAACAGTTTGGCTGAAAAAACAAAAGTATCGAAAAAGTTAAAACATTTCATTTTGAGCATTTCAAAATGAGTGAGAGTGAAAATACCCTAAAAATGGCTGAGCTGAAAAACCAACCCCCTCCCAAAACCTGTTTCAAACTGATTAAAACAATTCAGTCAATTTCAAATATATGTCAAGTTTTTCAATTCAAAGCAACATTTTGAATAAAACTGATTTTGGTTTAATTCAAAATGGCTCCCCCTCAATTTTGATTCAGCTCTCAACAAAAATAAATACAAGTCTATTATTCACTCAGCTCTATTTATTACACAATATTCTGATGCCTTCAAGTAATCCTCTACTGTCACCCAATGTAAGAGTCTTATATCATCAGGATATCGAAAATCAATTTTCCTATACTCAGACAGCTAAGAGAGTGAGCTCTCTCTCAAATACTGATTTCTCAAATGCAGAGTACCTACACAATTTTCTTTTACAATCCCTGGCGTATCAAAAAACCAGCGAGCATCTTTCAGTTCATTGTATGTAAATTCCACTCTCTCTTTAGGCTTCTTAGATGGAATGACAGGCTCCTCTTCCATGTTAAAAGAGAGCTCATCAGGATCAAAGTGAATAATACCTTTTGACTTCTGTTGTTGAAATGTTCTTCCCACCCTTCCTACATGAAAAAGGAAATGCATTTTTAATAATTTGTTACTTCACTTCAACTGGAAATTTCTCTTCATTACACACTGAAAAATAAGTAAAATATATGATTAAAATAATATAAATGCGATAGAAACTTACAAATGTAAAGGCTCAAAACTCAAAATTCTTCCACAATTTGATCAGAGGAAGTGGGTCTGGCCCACAAAAGCTCATCACCTAATAAACCATCCTGTTAGTCTTTAAAGTGCTGCATAATCCTGTCTTTTGTTTCAGAAGGTTAAAAAGTGACTTATTTAAAATACTTGAATGTGTTCTCTCTTGTCCAACAAAAACGGAAAAATTCAGTGCTGTTAGCACTCCCTCAAATCATGGACCTGATATAATGTGCTCTTAATATTAAGTTTTGCTGTTAAGTTTATTTACTTTTATTATTAGGCTATGTCTATACCACAGGCTTCTTGCACAAGAAACCTTTTGCATTAGAGTTTTTGCGCAAGAGTATGTCCACACCTCAAAGCACATCGCAAAAGCAATGTGCTTTTGCGCAAAAGGAGCGTCCAGCACTTGTGGAAGAAAGCTCTGATGGCCATTCATTGAATGGCTATTAGAACACCTATGCTTTTTCCCATAGGGGTTTCTTGTGCAAGAAACCCCTCTGGAGTGTCCGCACTGGCCATTTTGCACAATAGCTGTAGCGCTAAAAGCAGTTATGCCTCAGAAAAGGAGGTTTACCAATAGTGGAAAAAGCCCTCTGTTCTGCCGTTTAACTGCCTATTTAATTTAATTGTGCAAGTGCTCATTTGAGGTGTGGATGCTCCCCAGATTTTTGCTCAAAAACCTTGTAGTGTGGACGTAGCCTTAGTGTATTACAGTAACCCAAAGGACCCCAATTGTGTTCCCATTGTTATAGTCATCACCGAAAACACCAACCTTCACCTTTCAAACACTTATGCATGTGGTTAATTCTATTTGTGGGAGTACTGATTCGGATGGAATTGCTTGAATAAATGTAGGATAAGGTCCTTGGTTTGCAGCAATTACAGTCTGTGCAAGAAAGTATTGCCTGCAAAGCTTACAAACTACACAAAGCTCTAGCTCAGTGTTTCTTAAACTGTTCCGTGGCACACCAGTGTGCTGCAAGGTAGTCGGAGGTGTGCCGTGGAGAAAAACAGAATTCAAAATGGCCACCCTTAAAGGGGCAGGTGACTTTTTTTAGGCTCAATAACTTTCCCCAATCCTTCCCCCCCCCCAATAACCCCCCCCCCGATTTTTTTTTTGGGGGGGGGGGTTCTTCGGTCTTAAAAAGTTTAAGAAACACTGTTCTAGCTGCTTGCTTGCCTGCCTTTAATCGGTTAGCGGTTACTCAATTAAACGGGATTCTGCATCCCTAGTTCATTCCCTCTGGGGCACCTGGCATCAGCCACTGTCGGAAGACAAGATGCTTGGCTAGACAGACCTTTGGTCTGATCTAGTATGGCAGTTCTTATCTTTAATGAATTCTTATTCTGATATATTGTTACACTATTGCATACACTAATAACCCAAATCTGAATTGTATCACAAATGCATGCTGGCTAGCAATTTTTACTAATCAAGAGTGCACTTTAGATACTAACATACCATACAATAAAGTTTAATTGAATCTTTAATGCAGTATCACCATTTGCTCTTAAGATTTAAATATTCTCTCTCAGATAACACTCACCTATTAAATAACCTTGCTTTTTAAGGCATTTAAGATATTTTTGTTCATCACCACTAAGTTGTTCTTCAGTTTTTTCTGCATCTGCTTTTAATCTTTCCTGTCTTCTGAACAGCCTGTCAGGTGTAGGATTAATAATTGGAAATTTCAGGAGATTTAAGGTTGTGCCTGAAAAATAAATGCCAACGTTATCCAGGTCTATGATTGCGCAAATTAAATATAGTATATAAAAGCAATTAAATGTTAAGGTGCAAACAGTGAAAAAAGCCACATACAGAACAAATTTCACTGGCTTTATGATGGCCTCATTCTTCTTTATGAAACAGAAAAACAAATACACAATAACAAAACTAAAGACAACTGCTAAGTTAAAGACTCTTCTCAGAAATTACTGTCCACAGTGGCTAGGACAACACTATGATGTTGGACAACAGTTGTTAGCAGTTGTGTTAGCTTCTAGGAAGCCAATGTGCTGAGCATGATACGAATGGGTTGCACCTATACACACATCCTTTTGCAAAGAAACATTACTTGTGGTACAACTGCATGAAAACTAGCAAAATTCTTCACAATTAAGACCTAATCCATTTTGCCATTATCATGATTCTTATTTATGGCAATTAATTTACTGAAAAATAAACGATAAAAGCCAGACATGAAAACTATCTTTAAAAACTATTGCAAGTAAACAGAACTTTTATAAGAGCAAAACCTGGTGTTTCTTTCAATTTGCCTTTAAAAGTGATGCGCAGAGAAAATAGGACTGTGGTCATTTAGATTTGATTTTTTTTAACTTTATAAATTAATATCTTGTTTGTAGCTTTTTCCCCCCGGAAGACACCATGGCCTTTTTGAGACTAGGAAGGAAGATATTTTTTAAAAATGTGTTAGCTAACACTAATGCATTTTACAATCTTAGTACAGTGAATGAAATTGTATCATTTATAATTTTCAGACAGGTTGCCATGTTAGTCTGTTTCAGCAAAAACAATGAAGAGTCTTTAAGGTGCCACAGGGGACACACATTTATTTGGGCATAAGAGCTTTTATGTGCTGCAGTCCTCTTCATCCGGTGCATGAAGTGGAAACTACAATTAGGTGGGGAGATATACACAGATGCAATCTTGTTATAATCTATAACGTTTTAGCTAACCAAGGTCAAGATTATGGGGGAATGGAGTGTCAGTATGAGTGTCAAGAACTGTTACTTTGGGGCACCTACTATCTCAACAGGATGCTACTAACACCATTGCTAGGTCACTTTCCACACAAGTGCCACACTCACTGAATAATGCCACTGAAAACTAGAGAGCCCTGTTTCAATTAATATTCTTCACTATTGAACGAGACTGGTAAATATTTTCCCCAGAGATTTTGAAGCGCGTTTGGCCAAATAATAGGACCTGGAATTTATGGGTTATGTTTTGAGAAACGGACATAATCCTGACATGGGACTTGCTATAGTCAGTCCTGGCCAGTGCCAAAAAGAGCCCCATTAGACTGAAGGACCGGGAAGAGGATTAACATCTGATATTAAAATACATCACACCAGTACTCTGCTCTCTGCAGGTCACTTTGCAGTTTAGTTCTGTCCTGCTGTCTGACTGCTTAGCCTTTTCCAATACTGATGCTGCCTGAATTTTTGATATTGGTAGAACGGGCAGCAGCGAGAATGAGACACCCATGCTGAAAGCAGAGAGGAGCTAATGTTTGGTTCTTCAATTTGTCAAGCAAACCTCTGAAAATGTAAAAGTTCTGCACTGGGACTGGACTACAACTAGGAGATGTGCTACTGCTTGAAGCCTGACAGATAATTCTCCTCCGTGAAATACACAGCTCTGAGCATCACCATAACATACCAATGTTGGAAATCAAATATAAGTGTTCAAATGGCAGATTTACTACCCACTTCTCAAACTAACCCCCAATCTTATCTCACAATGACAGCTCTTCTAAGCTGCCCCAAATTATTCCTTTCTATTAAATACAGCTACATCTAACCCTTAGACTGCATGCAGATGATTCCCATTGGCTAAGGTCAGCTTCACTAGGCTGAGTCAAGTTACGAGTTTTCAGAAGGTTTGAATCGTGCTGAATTTGAAGTTCTGGAAAGGCATGAGCTACCACCAGACAACCTTATCTCTGTGCTAACAAAGGTTTTTGCCATTTCACATAGCTAAAGCCTTTATCATAATGCCTATGCACGAGACCAACTTAAGGTAGCACAGGGCAAGCTTACCGCTTGCATTTGTTAGCTACTGAGTGCTTGATTTTGCAACCTTAAAAATTCTTTTGCCAACTTTTTTTGGGGGAATGTTATTATATACATCACTACAAGATTTGCCCCACGTTACTCAGGTGCTTAACTCAAATATATCTGAAAGTCTCTCAAATATATAGTAGATAACACCCAAGAGTCTGCAGTCAAGAACAGGCCCCTATATAAAAGCCAGTTCTTACCCCAAAAAGAACTTTAGTTTTTTTAAATTCTTACCCCCAAAAAGCTTAAACGGATAATGACAGAAGTCCCCATCCATGCCCCTCTCACCTGGCCAGGGCGAGATTGTTGCTCGGTTGATCACCTCTGGGGCTTTGGACTTGCAGTAGTCAGACTGCAGCAGAGTATTGAACAGTGTGGATTTGCCAGAGTTGGTAGTGCCTATGAGATACACATCGCCATTGCACTTCCAGGAGCGCTGCAGCTTGGAGATCAGCTCCTCCACGCCATAGCCTGTCTTGGCACTGATGAGGTGCACATCCACCAAGTTGTGGCGCCCAGTCCTGTCAGCCTGGTCCCCAATGCCCTTGGCTGCAGGGAGGATGCCCAGGCGGGCACAGCTCTTCAGCAACAACTTTCGGAAGCGCTTCAGATAGTCTGGAGAGTCCCCAGGCAACAGGTCCACCTTGTTGCCCACCACCAGGATGTTTGACCCTGCACTCACCAGCTCAGGGAGGTCTGGCAGCACGGAGTCCGGTAGGTCCAGCATATCAACCATATACAACACCAGGGGGGACCGACCATGCCGGGGGGGGCTGCGCAGAGCCGCGCTAACCAGGCTGCGGTATTGCTCCCGGGTCACCTGCATGTGCTGTGCCTGCTGGTGATGGACCAGGAGCCAGCAACGTTGACACACCACCCCCTGCAGGGCCCGGTGTACCTCCGAGTCCCCCAGGGCCCCCAGTCCGTCTGAGCCCCCTGGGGTTCCCTGTGCCCCCAATTCCACCGAGCCCCCCAAAGCCTCCTGGGTCCCCAAACCTTCCAAGCCCACCAGGGGCCCCAAATCCTTCGACCAGCTTGGGGCATCTTGTGTATCCGAGTCCTCTAGGCTCCTTGGCCCCCCTAAACTTTCCAAGCCCCCCCGCGCCCCCAGCTCGGCC